AATCTGGCAGAAATACATGTTCGTTTTATTCAATTTTGTGAGAATTAAAAAAATAGAATTGAAAATATTCTTGCATTTTGATACAGTAGATCAGGATCTTTGTAGTTTGCAGTTTGACTCAACTTATGAGCAATCAGATATATTTTGTTATAGTTACCAGTGTCATCTGGGAAGCAGTTTGCATTTTAATTACATGTAGTATGCAACATTGTTAATGTCTACAGAAATAAGTAGACAATATGTTTAGTGTTTTTTAATAGGCTGTGTCATATTCATTTAATTGAGAGAATCAACTTTCTTCTTTGTAACCATTAGCCTTGACAATGAACATGTTTATTGTATAGTATATTTTTTGTTGCAAAGCTAAATATATTATTTGAAGTCTTAAGAGTGAATTGTACATGTATGTAAATATAATGTATATTCCTCAGATTTAATTACTTCTTCAAATAAGTTACCCCATCATAATAGCTTTAGAAAACTAATACTACCTTGCAAAAGAAGCCTTCCAGGCTAAAATATTTTATCTAAAAAGCTAAAAGCTATCTGCCCACATAGGTGGCAGTTATTATGATTTCCCCTTAATACAAGGATTGGCACCAAATCTTGTGAATACTTAATTTACTAATTCAGCTCCTGCCAAGTGGCATGCTCACTACAGATAGTGAGGCCTCAAAATCCACATACAAATATCCTGGAAGTGTCTACCATAAAGCCTAAAGAAAGAGGAGTATTTTTCTTGAAGCGAAGTATAATTCGTGTATAATTTCAAACTTTTCTTTAATCTTTGATAACAAAGTTCTGTCTCTTTAATATCATCACTTTGTTATCCTCACCACTTAGGCACCCTTTATATGTACCTGCTATACAGTAGTCCCCCTCTAATATGGCCACCCCTTCTGCACCGGGAAAGTGGCCTTATAAGGCGGGTGGCCTTTCCAGAGGGGGACTAAATTTTTTGTGAGTAGTATATGTACGTAGTAAGAAAGCTTCATTTTTCAAAGCATTTAATATCTTTGTTTAAAAGCAATATTAAATATTGAACGGTTCTTGTGCTATAATAGTTGACTTATTTCAACTGAATATGCATTAATAGTTTTTATTTTTGGTGTAAGCGTGATATGCAAGCGGGTGTTGTCATGCACATTGCAGAACCATTCAAAAACGCCATTTGAATCTTGGTACATGCGCAATTCTCTTTCCATTTGCTCCATTTTCCCACTGCTGCTAAATAACTTATCGGTTACGATTTTATTTCGAGTCTTTTCAACATAAAATTGTTTTATTCGAGTCTTTTCTACCTAAATTTGTTTGACCAGTCCCCCTCCCCACCTCACCCAATATCGTAGACTATTATAACCGACGTTTTCTGAAATAATCATCTTTGTTTACGTGATGACATGTTAATGTTTGGTAATGAGTTATTCCGATGTTGCTAACTGTATGCGATTTAATTTTGCAGATGACATATTTGTTGAGCGGATGAAATGCTTTCTTCGTAAAGAAGCCACAAATTGTTTTTCTCACGTGATTTTTCAGTCTTTGTCTATTACACTGTTTCTATTTTTAGCCAATGCTGACCATGTGATCTTGACATTACGTCCAGTTATAATCATCAATGTTGCAACTACAAGACTGATAAAACATTTCTTTTCTGCATTTAAACAAGATGCCGTATATTTTTAAAGGCAGCAATTGTCACGGGATTCATTAATCGCAGTCTGGTACCCTATTGTTTTTATATTATTTTTTTTTTGCTCTTAAGTTCGAAAAACGGCTGGGATATGTACGCAGATTTGCTCTGAACAATAGCACATCACGGCCGTTAGGATTTATAAACTTTACAATTGTGTAATAGCCACTAATTATGTAAGTTAACAAGCTCAACATCTTGCAAAGGGAAGCCATAAAGGCTATCAAACCATTTTCCACGACGACTTTTGTATTTAATTGCCACTTCTCTGAGGTTACTACTATTAATAAATGTAATCTTAACAATTATCAGTGGATAAACCAGACATCTTATGATAAAACGAAGTAAGGATATAGGGATTACCTTTATGTATGGATTAAATTTGAGTCTTTCTCGGCTTTATGGAATAAAGGTGACTTGACTTCTCATGAGGTGTAAAGGATATATTAACTTTTGTGGTACATGTAGAACACTTTTTTGAAGAACGTAAACCCGACATCGGGAAACAGAAATAGGATTACTTAACATAATTAGGAAAAAAAATTGTTCTAGATACATATTACAAAATAAAATGTGGCCGCTTGTGAGGGGTAAATTTTATGTTTTTGCAAAAATATGCTGGCCACTGGTCGCGTTAGCTGGGTGGCCTTTCGTGAGGGGTAATTTTGAACACAAATTCGTCGGTGCTTTCAGATTCTGGCCGTAAGGAGCTGGTGGCCACTGGTAAGGGGGGGGGCATTCAAGAGGGGGACTACTGCAGTCCCTTTACATGGCTATAGTTGTATTTAAAATGTGCAGGTCTGGTATGGGATATAGAAAACTTTTATAATAGTGTTTTATGATTTCTACTACAGTTGGATATATACTGGTATGTTTTAAATGCTAATATAGCCTTAGCATCCATTACATAGTGGACTTTACTGATTTACCTGTATAGGCTTCAATAGGTTTTTCTTTATCAGGTAACATTATCTTACAAACTGATATTAAAGCATACACTAAGCATCAACAGTGGCACTTAGGTGCAATTTTATCTGCATGTATTGTGTAGAAAGTCAATCATATTGCTGACTAGTTCAGTTGAGGTTGGGTATGTTCCATACTGTTAAGTCAGTTTCCTGTTACTATAAGCAATATTTCAATGATTTTACTTGTATAGACAGTCAATTTGCTTTTCCTTCAGGTAACTGTATTAGAATTTTTGTTTTAGCATCCACCTCATTAGTATTTACAGCAATACTCCAAAATCATATAGCAATATTAGCTACTATGTTCACTCTTTTACAGATAATTGGCATAGTGCAAGGTTTTGCACATACCTCTCCATGTTCATAAAATGGGATGCATGTTGGGCTGCACCCATCTATAATGTTTCTCTATTTTGTCTTAAAGATTTAGACCATGGGCAAAACTTAAGTGTAATTTTGGAAACATTGGAAATGCAGAATTGACAACCATTATGTGTAGCTTGCTCCTGTTGCTAAATCTGTCAATACAGGTCAAGCTTACATGTCAATGAATAAAGGTAATGGGCTTGCAGTATTTTTAAGGGCTGCTAAAGAGGAAGGAGCAGAAGTGCATTTTAAATGATAATGTCATTAGTATACATGCTGAAACAGTGGGGAATGACTTGCTTCTTAACAGGTATCACACTCCATATGGTTCATCAAACCATGAAGCAATTCAAATCATTAACAGTTCCAACTTTTCCCTAATTGCTGCATTATAATAACCTTTCATGGCAGAACCAGAAGTTCATTTACTGCACAGGCTTGACAGCCAGTTTGTCACCTGCCTCTGAGTAAGATCAAAATCAAAACAATTCATCTCAGTTGCTGTCTTGCACTTCAGCTGTATGGACCAGCTACATGGATCAAATATACCATATACCATCCCACTAAATGAACTAAATGCTAACTATGATGGCCTTTTCTTACATGACCAGATTCTGGCATGTGGCTCTGACTGCAACCACAGTCAATCAATGATTGTCTGCTACCAGACAAGGATCTCTGTCCAATTTGCCAAACCCATGTCATACAGACACCTTTGTGGATCAGTCTAACTCACATAGTACCAAAAAGCACCAGGAGTGAGATATAGATTAAAACAAGCTTTTTCATATATTATCTTGCACATCAGCTGTAAAAACTGGTTCGTTGATTAAATATCCCATAACCTGTCCTAGCACCAATAATACCACAATGTCATGCAACATTAAATGGCAATATTCCATCAAAACCAGTCTCAGAAATATGCTTCAGATCTCAACAGGTCACTACCACAGCTGATCTTGCCATTTAAACCAAAGGACAGAAGGTATTTATTTGGCACTTTCATGCCTCAGCCACAGGCTACTCAATTTACTTAGTGCTCCGTTTAGTGCCCCAGTACACACAGGATATGAATTTGTTTAATTTTCATGCCTTTGCCATTCAAAGTGAACATTTGCTCAGTGATTATATCCCAATCAAAATATTCTGCAAGCATGGTAGGCCACCCCTTAGACATCTATTTTCCAGTTTCATCTCATACTTCACATGATTTAACAGTGTTGCCCCATCCCTTGAGATGATGAAGTATGCTTACTAACTCCATCATCATTGCTAGATATCACTGACAAGAGAAGACTCTACCATCCAAGCTACAACTAAGGAAGTCCTTCACAAGTTTTTTGTTCTCCTCTTTCTCCATCAACAGCTTGCTCCAGAATTCTAACATCTATTGACATGCTAATTAATACAGACCAACCCATGTTCAGCTGTTATTGCTGCTGAGTCAAGTGACCGACTTTGGTGGCATTACAGACAATAACAGCCATAGGCATGAGTAGTCCTCATCTGTAAGCACTCAGATGCTATCTTAGGAAGAACTGGTTTTGTGGATTACATAAGTAACTCCATAAGGAATTTTCGGCTTGATTATGGAAGATACAATAGCCCCATCCATTATTGTATGGACCATATCATCTGAATCTGACCACACAAGGGTAATACCAAAGCTGATCCGGCATATTATGTTGAATTATGGGACTGATCTATATCCCATCCTGACGTCAAAGCACTGCTTCTCTTACGGCTAAGTCTATCCATAATGCACCTAGTTTGCTTCATTGCCAGTTGTTCCATAGTATCAGTTTATCAGCTTTTCTTGGGGAAAACAGTCCTACAAGTTTAAAACATTAGTTCTCAAGAATCAATGTGGATAAAAGCACCAAGGATGGGATCGTTCCATTAAAATTTACTCTCCATGCCATCAGATATAGATTGCTTATGGTTGATAACAAACCCAGTCTAGCTTGCAAATATGCCTGAACTGCTCCAGTGGCCTAGTGGTTAGTGCATCCGCCTTGGATGTGGGAGGTCATGGGTTCAATCCCTGGTCAAGTCATACCAAAGACTTTTAAAAATGGTACTAACAGCTGCCTCGCTTGGCACTCAGCATTAAGAGGTTGGTTATTGTTAGGACTGGTCAGTCTGGTGTCAGGATAATGTGACTGGGTGGGACATCATGCTACATGTCTGTGGCATGATGCCCCAGTGCTAGACATCACTATAAACTGCCACACTGAAGACATCATAGTGATATGACTGAAAAATTGTTACAGCTACGTTAAAAATCATAATCACATTGCATCACAAATATGCCTGAATAGACCACTTATGATAATCTAATGTCATGAATTCTATTCCTGCATCTGTACAGTGAACCTTATAAGGAAACAACATCCAATTGGTAGAGACATCCTATACAGTACCATGACAATTCCATGTCATTCATTAGCCAGTTACTGCCTTTATGTCCAGCTACTATTATGAACCCAGGGTATCCATTAGCTTGATCCTTGCAAAAATCCTACTTCACTGTAACAACTCCTCCTGTCTCATGCAAGAACAGGAATATGCAATGAAACCATTCCAACAGGAGCTTTAATTCTTACAAAGTACCATCTTACAGCCTAAGAATCTATCACCTACTGATTTGCATCAGCACTTGCACTTTCATCCTGGATAAAATAGGTTATTCACTTCACATCTCAGGAAATAAACAAAGATCAATGAATTTGTGGTTTGGCTTAGGAAATAACTGCCACATAGGTGGGTTGGATTTGCAGTGTGGTAGTAGTTCTCATAAGTTATTATGAAGAAATATATTTTACTATAAAAAGAAATTGCTTTTTGTTACCCCCATGCTTTTTCAAGGAATATTTTAATATGCTCCACCTGTTAGTCTCTAACCACATCTCTGAAGAAAGCACTGGGTGGTAGTTCATCAAACTTGATAAATTAGTTGCTGTAGGTTGCAAAAATCATACCCTCTTGTAGATGATCACCATCTGCAAAAGGGGCATGATATTTGGGTCTCTACCCTGAAATGTTAGGGAGGGGTTAATGGTCATATGAACAAGAAATAATTTAATTTTTTAAACCACCAAAGCCCTTGCACATAACTGGATGCCATTAGTTAGGTGAGTTACTTATTATATGTACATATATATTTTAAATGTGTCATCTTTCAAGTCCTATATTTATAAGTTGTTATCATTTTTCCATCGTTTTTAAATTTCCAGTACATAGGGTCCTTGTAACCAACATAGCTCCAAACCTGTCAAATCTTACAATTTTACTGTAAGGCTCACTGAAACAAACCTTAAATTAAAGACTTAAAGCTGGATAGCAAAAACAAAAATATATTTTGGTCAAATCCAGATATTGGTTTGTGTGAGTTTTGGTTTGGATCTGGGTTATAGACATGGGTGCTTTAATCAACTCAAGTTCATGTAAATCATCTGCATCATCAAGCTTGCACATCATCTGGACATGTCCAGCAAAGGAAAACAAGCTGAAGTGTTGCAATCAGCCTCTTTAAAGGTCCAAACACTCACCACTCAAGCATTTAAAGCAATGTTCAGATACTTGGCCATTATTGGGGAAAAAAAACAAAAGGTGACAAATGCACATCGGTCCTGTTGATCTGAGTATTACTCACAGTGAGAGATTACTGCTGCTGTGAATTAAAAGAAACCTGAAGATTACATGAAAATATCTAGCAAGAAGACTTTGACTTTATCTTAAACATTATGTTGCCATTGCTGCATTCAGACCAAACTATTAAAACTTGTTTCAAATTCATATTTACCAAGCTGACAACAGCAGTATGTGACCGTTGACTGAACCTTACATAACAATGGCTCAATTTGTGGAAATATATTAACTGTTTTAATGAGTCATTTAAAGTTTGACAGGTCTGTAGCTCAGGAATCATTCATTATATTTTGATCTAATTTGGGGCATACACTGCCTCATAGACGAAGAAGTACATTTTATGGGTTCTGTCCAGCCTTTAGGATAGAGTTATGGTTCTTGAAATCCACTGCTTTATTTATCATTAGGATTAAGTTATGGTTCTTGAAATCCACTGCCTTATTTATCTTAACATGCAATATTGCTTGAAACCGTACAACAGATGCTTTTTTGTATAAGCATTGTGTCATGGACCTAGATGTATCTTTTATAGGATCTGTCCCAATTCCATCTTGGATATGTATGTAGGTGAGACCAAAATGGAAATTCAAGTGAAAATAAAAGAACACCTCAGGGATAGAAGGACGACTTGTTACCCCTAAATGTCCAGCTTGAAAAATGGGTTTCTGCAACATATTATATACATACTCGCTTACAAGTCCAACTGCAAAAACTGCACAGATCCAGATCTGCTGTTGCATAAAGCACTGACAGATCTGTGTCTGTTCAGTTTCTCAGAAGTCATCAGTAGAACAAACAACATAGACCATGATCTGCAGGTGCATTATGCTACGGCAGATTTGGATCTTTGTTGTTTCAGTGAGTTCCTCTGTTCAAGTCCATGAAAAAGAAAATTGTAGTTAATATTATGACTTTATTTAAAGAGAGTAACTCAATTAGCTAAGAACTAATCTACCTTGAGGCCCTCATTCAAAGGAATTTACTTATTTTTGCTGCATCTCTGAAGCCACCGTATATACTGGGCATAGTGAGCAAGGGCTCTTGGTGGTGTACCTATTGCTGATACTCTCACATTTAAATAGAGCCAGAATGCAAATGACAAAGATCATGATCTGCCAGTGCATTATTCAATGGCAGATCTGGGTCTGTGTTGTTTGCAGATGAATTTGACTTAAAAATGAGTATATGTGGTTCCTATTGCTATTCTTTTTTTGTGTAATAGAACTGTGTGTAAAAGTATTCCTTTTGTAACATTTCCTAACATTGTTCCAAGTATATCACATTGTACATATGATGCTATGCTGGTATTAACATAAAGATGTAAATTTTAACAAATCTGTTGTACACTTAGTGCCTTTTTTGATTACACTTAAGCTATTTTGTTTCATCAGACTTGCTTTTCTATTTCTCATCTGATTTTTGAATATCATTATCACGGGACAAATGCTCAATTCTTGTGCTGAGCAATGCAATTGATGTCATTTATTAAAAAGTATCCAAAGGCAAGTAAACATTTTTAAAGTGCCATGTTTTGTTTTTTACTTGGCTTTTTGCTGTTAATATCAGTTTTGTTCAATGTCCATAAATTTTTATACAATTTTCAACCATTATATAAAGCATTCATTATAAAATCTTTGCTCCATAGCTGTTTGACTGCAAACTGAGAATATAGTCAGCTTGATTATGTGCCAGTGACGTAAAATACAATCACCTATTGACTGCAGTTGCTGTTATGGATTCCAAAATGCTACTTTAGTAGTCCATATGACAAAGTGCAAATTTTATAGTCATAAATACATATTAAATGAGAGGAGAATTTCAAAAATTATCTAGTAGATACATCAGATCATCCATATGTCAATTTGAGTTTAACTTTTTGTGTCTCTGACTCATCCTATAAACTTCTGACTTCTCTATTATTAGGAATACTGTGGGGAACATAAACAAGCTCCAACCCCCAATTAAAAACATTGCAAAATCATGCATAAGTCCCAATTTCTGCAATTTACTCCAAATTTTACTCCCATCTGATATGATTTTTCCTCCGAAATGATGCTCCTAGGTCCATCCCAAACCCAATTATGCAAGAAAAAAGCATTATTTTTTATTTGGACAACATCTTGGTTATGTACCTATCCATACAAAAAAAATCTCAATGTTTTTTGTATACTTTTTCAATCCATTTAGTTTTTCTAAGTTGTGTCATGGCCTCTCAAGTACCAGATTTCTTAACATCGTAAAAGTCTTGTTTTTTAATTTTGAGTAACTACTTAGGTCTAAGACACTTTAAATCATATTTTATATAAAACAGAATTTTCTTTATTAGCAGATTCATGTCTGAACCATTTTACTATGGATCTTTTGATTAAAAAAGTATATGTGGCCCAAAATTACACCCAGTAATGTAATCTACAGTCCATGACTTGCTTTTATCCACTTATCATAGGGTGTGGCCTTAAAAATTGCTTATCTGACTTGTGCCATCACAGAAGTTGCACATACTGAATTATACTGCAAAATTTATTTGGCAAACTGCTTTTGTTCTCACCACCACCACTTGGTCAGTCCATCCCATTAAATTTTGCCTTTAGGTCAGTGTTCAGGAACCATAGCAAGGCCATCATGTTCCAACAAAACATTTCAAATTCAGTCTTTATAGTTCAGTTATAAATATAGACAGCATCCATCTATATTCCATATGTAAAAGTGTTAATTTGAAGGGAAAAATAACACTTTTGGGTCTCATATTCTACACATTGAAAGCTACAAATTTCAGACTTGTTTTTTTGTTAACCATGGAACTAAAAATTTCAAGACAAATGTAACAATACATAATCTTGTCTCGTCATTTTCTATCATGCCACAGATATTAAAAATTGTATACTTCATGTGTATTCTGTCGTCATTTCTTTTTTGTTATTGCTTCTATTTCCCCTGCATGATATAATAATAATGTTTTGCAAGTGCCATGAAATAAAAATAGTTAAAAATAAACAAACAAACAAAACAAAACAAAGAAAATGCGAAAGCAATCCACCAAAGACTAGAATGTTTCAGCTTGATATGCATTTTATAGTGAACTTAAAGTGTTACATGTAGGCTCATTCAAAAGTAAGAAAATAAAAGATTGAAGGCAACAAGCTTTGTAAATTTTCACAAAATAATTCATTTCCCTGGAAAAAAGTAAAAATCTGAAAAAGGACTTAACAGTTTGTGAATATAATCCAAAAATTAATCCTGGAATCTAAAATTATAAGTCCTATCACTAAAAAGTTCTAAATCAAGTTTGAATCCTGTTAAAAGTTCCAATATGGAGGACGATGACGTCAGATGAACGTATTGTAGTGATATGTCAACAGTTCCTCGTTAAATTTTGTAAATCAAGAATAATATTCCAGCTTTAGA